ACCACATTCCCACCCCCTCCAATTCCTTCCCCAGTGCAGCACATGTTCCCATCTTAGCTTCAAAGGCTCTTTACATTTAATAGCTATTGAGCTCATTTTGTTCTGCTCTTTCTGCATAGGTGTGCGGACAATCTTTAATACATTTAGTCAACAATCATTCAATTCAAGGTGTGCTGACTAGTCCTAAATTCATTGCATATATGCATAACTCATGTGTGAGCCAATAAAATTTTCTTCTTGTTCCTTATCCACCTGTTGTGTTCTCTAGTTTTCAGCATTTTCAGGAAATCATTGTTTCTGTCCAGATGACTAAGATACGGTAATAAAGTCTCAATTTCATCTTCTTTGCCACCCAAAGTCTGTAAATGTCCTCACTTTTTAGGCAGAATATCCTGTGGTTAATCATTAATCTTGTGCCCCGGAGCTAATCTGTACAGTTTTTTAAACTGTGGAGTGGTGCCAGCTAATCAACAATTCAGTATCTTATCATGTTTCTTCCATACAACATGGAAGCAGGAGAGACTCAGCTGGTCTCAATTCAGAAGGTGAGAGTTGTGGATTCTAGATTCTGCAAAGATGCTACCAGCATCCACATTCAGACCAGAGGATGGCTTTGATATCTTTCTGAGCCAGACTTTAAAGGGTGAAGGAGGTTTTGCCAATTTCATATTCCTTTTAGTTATTGATCCTTGACATAGTAATGCCCCTGCCAAAATAATGTACATTCAGACAGGACTTTATCCCCACATTAAACATTCACTCAGGGTTTCCTTAGTTCTCCATAAACATGAGCATGCATACTCTATCACCTTCACTCTGCTTTATCTGCTCCCTGGTGTTTCTAGTGCCACTGGTCTACGCTGAAAATGTAGGGGTCATTCTCCACTACCCTTTACCCAGTCAAGCTCTCCTGACATTTCTAGGTAGTCAGTTGCCCTGTGACCCCTTTTCTAAAGAAATGAAGAAAAATCATGATATGCAATTTGTCTGATGGCTTATATAATTGTACAGCTTGTATCCGTTTTCCCTGGCGAGATATGAACATACTGAGTACGATGCTAAATGTGAATATTTTTCATTTGACTGCTTAATCAAATATAAATTTTGAATTATCATGTGTAGGATTGTATTGGTTACTCATTATAATAAAATTTTTATTTAAAAGGATCTTCCAAAGCCTTAGGAGTTAATTTTGTTCTGCTTTTGAAACAGAGCTAAAAAAATTCTTGGAAGCAACATAGGATATACCAGAATGAGAAGACAAGAGAAGAAAATTTTGTGTAGATGATATTTACAAACAGTTGGAAAGTTGGAGAGGCTGGGAGATAGAAAAAGAATTATCTTTAATCAAAGGGTTTCCCTCTTGGTTGTATTCTAAGTCCCATGATGAATGTGATAGCACTTTCTCTATTACTGAAATACAGTTTACAGGTTCACATATCACAGTTTGCCTTGCTTTCACAAGGTACTACGTAAATAACTCTCTCTTATATTTGTTCTCTCTTATCCTTGCACATAGATCATTTTCATCTGTTTTTTCAAGATTCTTTAGCTGCTGAAATTACTTTCTGTGTGAGTTAAAAGCCCAATTCATAACTTCCTTTTCTTTCACTACTGGTCAAATAGAATGTGCTATCTTACCTTTGCAATTATGGAAACATTTTCTTCCACACCACATTTTTTTGCTTTATAGAAACTAGTTGGTTTTACTTATTTGTTTGTTTAGGTTTCATTTTTTTAATTTCAAGATGACTTAATCCTTTCTTTTCCTTATACAAGTTTTAACTCATATTCCCTAACTACATTTTCCCTAAACAAAAATCAAGATAATCTGCAAAATTCTTAGTACAAGTTACCTGATATAGAGAGTCAACAATGCCCTGCTGTTTAAGTTCTTTGACTTCATTGTCCTTGTGTTGAGGTGACTATTAAATCATCATCGCATGTGGCTTCTAAGAATCTGAACAAGAGACCGTCAACTGCTGTAGTCATTTGTTCCTAACTCACTTTATGGTGTTTAATTTTTATTTTGTTTACATAGATGTGACTGTAAACTCTGTCTTACATCCTTTTGAAATAGAAAATTGATTCGTTGTGAAACAATTGACTCCATTTTTGCTTCTGGCTGCACATAAAGCTCACTGGAGTTGAGGCTGTTATATTAATTACTTCTTGCAAAGCATTGAAGGAAAATTAGTTTGAAACAGAGAATCCCTTTTCTGATGTGTCAGTCTTTTAAATTTGACATGAGTTAGTGATTTAGGTAGTATTTGGCTCCTTAAGGAATTAAAGAGAAATGATAACCCATCACAGAAAATTATAAGAAGAAAAGCAACTGCCTTAAATCTTAACCTTGAGAATATCATCTCAAACCTAAATGAATACAGGTATGTGGTTCTGCATTCTGGTATCTGAATTCCTTGAAGGACAAGGGTCATTTTGCACAGTCTTAGGATTTAATTCACGTACTGCAGGTCAAAAATAACCTTCTAAGAAAGGATCACTCTACATTCACAGAACTTGAATCCAGAAAATTGTTCATTGCTTCAAGAATATGACTACAAACTATCTACAAAACACATTTTATATCTGAATATATACCAAATCTGATCCAAACAGATTTCACTACCATAAATGATATAAGAAATGACAAATGAACCTATCAACAGTGCATGTTGCATTTCTGATACACATAAAAATTACTAAAATGACATACTATATATATTTAAGGTTTAAATTTCCACTTTCAATTTTTTAATTTTATTGTTAGTATGTAAGAGATAGAGATAGAGATAAATAGATGTGTAGATGTGTGTGTGTGTGTTTGTGTGTGTGTGTGTGTGTGGGAGAGAGAGAGAAAGAGAGAGGTGTTACAGGAGAGTATATTGGGGTACATGTGGATGTGAATGCATGTATATGTATATATGTAGAGGTTGAAAGACAGCTCTGTAGTGTTGTTTTCTGTTCTCCTCTATCACCTTGAAGTGTCAGAAGTCAAGTTGCAAATCTCATATGACAAATGCTTTATCCACTGAGTCATTTCAATGAAATCTAAGTTCTGACTTTTTAAAACCTCAAAAGATCAGGTGATCTGCAATTAAGTGACCTTAATTACTTTATCTATTTATTCATTTTTAATTTATTTGAAAATAGATTTTCATACAATATATTTTGGTTATGGTTTCTTGTCCCCCAACTCCTCTGAGACCCCTATTCTCCCTCCCATTGGCATGCACATTCTTTTTGTCATTCTTTAAAAAACAAAAAGACATGTAAATAATGATAATAATAATCAAACAAAACAAACAAAACAAAAAGAATGGAACAAAAATAAACAGAAGAAAAAGAGAACAACAAAAAAGAAAGAGGTACACATGTAGACACAAAAATGCACATGTTCATACATACAGGAATCCCCAAAATCATGAACCAGCAGCTACCTGTATTAGCTGAGGGAATGAAAGATTTAAAAATATGTGTTAAAGCCTTATGATGCAAAAATACTCTTGAGTTCATTTTTTGTTGACCATCTATTCCTGGACATGGGGGTCAGGCTTTACGAGTGAGTTGTATCCCCAAAGAGAGTACATTTAGAGATAACTGATTTTTCATTTCCAAGTTGTTACCAACTGTATGTAGCTTCTGGATTAGGGAGAAGTCGCTTGTTTCCTTTTCACCCTTACAGCTGTGTCCCCATCTGGTACTGACTCATGTAGGGTAGGTTAATGCTGCCACAGAAAATGTGAGTTCATGTGTGTGGGTCCTTCTATGTTTAGCAGTCCTTACAGGCTTAATGTCCTCCATCCCCTGTGGATATTATACTCTTTTGGCCTCCTCTTCTGCAAGGTTCCCTGAACCCTGAGGGAAGGGTATTGATAGAGTCATCCCATTTAGGACTGAGTATCGCAAGGTGATTCTCTCTGCACATTGTCTACCCTGTGGCTCTCTGCATTTATCCCCATATACTCAGGAGGAAATATATTCAATGATGGCCGAGACTGACACTGATCTAGGAAAACAGAGTATTGTTAGGAGTAATTTGGGGGCTATGTACTTTTAGTAGAGCAGCAGTCCTTGATTTTCCTCCAGGTCTCTATGCTAGGCATTATCAGGTTCTTGACCACCAGCACAAATTATGAAATGGGTCCCCATCTCCTGGAGTAGGCCTTAAATCCACTTGGTTATTCCCACAAATTAGGACTACTTTGTAGTAGTGCATCTTGTAGGCAGACCATCCTTGTAGACTGAAGGCTTTGTAGCTAGGATGATGTTTTCCTTTCTCTTTTGGTAGTATTTTGAATACGTTCAAGTACCATGAACATATGTCGGTAGGGAAAAAAGCTCTAGATAGACAGCAGCTGGACTTCTACATGTTAAATGAGTTGTATAATATTTTTTCTTCAGCAGTAGAGGCTTGCCATCAGTTTGTGGAGAACAACTAATAGCCTTGACAATAGCCTGAGTTGTTTGGGATTTCCCATATTGCCCTTAGGACAGCAACTCAGTTGGGTGTAACACATTTCCACTATGCTAATCTTCATTTGGTAACAGGAGATGTCTAATTGGTGTTTCATATCTGCAGTTACTTAGCAACTTCATTTAGATTGCCTTCAGAAATGCACATATTTCTCTTGACTTTAGTTTCCATATGACCCCTCAAAAGATACTTTTAGCTATCCCTACCCATATCCCCTCCTCATCACTATATTCCATCCCACCCCTAGTCGACCCTCAAATCCCAGACTTCCCTTCCTAGGTAGATTTATTTCTCCCACCTGGTCCCTTATTGTATATCTAATTTCTGTGGTTTTCTGTTTTGTAGCTTACTTATCAAGAATTTAACAGCAAAAATTCACAAAGAAAAGAAATATACACCACATTTATCTTTCTGTGCTTGGGTTACCTTACTTGGGATGTTTCTTTGTTCTTTGGTTTTTGTTTTTTGTTTCTTCTTGCATCATCCATTTACTTGCAATTTTCATGACTTTATTTTCTCCACAGTGAGATAGCAAGCACTTTTTCCAACTACCACAAATTATGTAGGTGAATTTTCCACATTTGGTAAAAGCAAAGGAGTAAGCACATACATAGTGCAATAGATAAATAACTCTTGCCCTGGGAACACCACCATGGTAATCATGGTGAACCCCATGCTAGGAAAGTATAAACTTTTTTAACAGCTGCACAATATTCCATTGTGTAAATTCGCCACCTTTTCTTCATCTATTCTTCCATTGATGGATATCTATGTGATTTCTAATTTATGGCTATTATGAATGTATTAGAAATGAATGTGGTTGAGTAAGTGTCACTGTGTTAGTGTATGTTATACTTCAGGCATATGTTCAAGAGTAGTATAGCTGGATCTTGTGGTAGATCTATTCCTAGTTATCTTGAGGAGCTTCCATGCTTACCTTCATATTGGCTGAAATATTTGTACTCCTACCAGTAATGAATGAGTGTTCCCCAATCTACAACCTTGCCATTACGATCTATCATGAGTTTTATTGACTAGATTTACTGGACACTTAGACTCCTATAAGTTATAATTTCAAAGTAGGTTTAATTTGAATCTCCCTGATGCTATGGATGCTGAATATTTCTTTAAATATTTCTTAGTAATTTCTGTTTAACCTTTTGAGAATTCTCTGTTTAGATTGGTACCACATTTTAAATTGATTGGTTCATTTTCTTGATGTCCATTTTTTACAAAAAATTTTTTGTTTATTTTAGATATCTGCAGCTGTGTGTACATGATGCTATTCTTTGTCAAATAGAAGCTTTTTTATTTTCCTGAGGTGATATATAATTGTTGATGTTAGAGACTAACTATAGCAATTATAGGCTATTCCCTAATTCCTGTTCTATCAGATTCAGTATGTCTAGTCATAGGTGGAGACCCTTGATCCACCTGGAGTTGAGTTTTATGCAGGATGGTAGGAATGGACCAATTTGGCCTCTCGTGCATGCAAACATCCAATTTGACCACCACCATTTGTTAAAGATTCTTTTTCCAGTTTGTTTTTCTGGATGTATAAAATTAAAAATCAGAGGTCGAGGCTGTAGAAACCCACAGAAACAGATGACTTGAACAAGGGGAATATCATGGACCCCAGATTGATAACTGGGAAACAAATATAGGACTGTTCCAGACCCCCTGAACGAGGATGTCAGTTTGGGTGTCTGGGCAATCTATGCAGACTCTGGTACTGGATCAGTATTTATTCTAGTACACGGATGGACTTTGGGAGCCCACTCCACATAGAGGGATACTGTTTCAGCCTAGACACATGGGGGAGGGTCTAGGCCCTGCCCCGAATAGTATGACAGACTTTAAAGATCTCTTATGGAAGGCCTCACCCTCCCTAGGGAGCAGAAATGGGATGGGATAGGGGGTCAATGAAGACCAGGGGAGAAGGGGAGGGAGAGGGAACTGGGATTGATATGTAAAACAAGCTTGTTTCTAATTTAAATAAAACATATATATACACACACACACAAACATACACACACACACAAAAATCAAAGGTCAATAGATGTATAAAATTATCTCCATGTCTTCAATTCAATTTCATTGACCATCATTCCTGTTTTCATGCTGCTTTTATTACTGTGACTTTGTAGCTCAATTTGACATCTAGAATAATGATACATCCAAAAGTTATTTTATTATTTAGTTTCAGTTTAGTTTTCCTGTAATTGTTTTTCTATAGGAAGCTGAAAATGGTTCTTTCAAGTCCTGTGAAAAAGTGAAGAAATGTTTTAGAATTTTGATGGTGATTACACTGAATCTGTGAATTATGTTTAGTAATGTAGCCAGTTTTACTCTATTAATACTCACGATCCATCAGAATAAGGGATCTTTACATTGTCTTATATCTTATATCTTCTTCAATTTCTGTCTTCAATGCTTTCAAATTTTTATCATATAAGACTTTCACTTGCTTGGCCAAAGTTACGCAAAGGTATTTTTGAGGCAATTTTAAGAAGTATTGTTTCCCTGACTTATCTATCAGTCCATTTGTCATTTATATGTGACAAGGAAACTGATATTTGTGTATAAATTTTGTGTCCTTCTACTTTACTGAAAGTGTTTATCAGCTATAGGCTTTTTGTAGTGCCTTATGTATACATTTGTATCATCTGCAAGTATGAATAATTTGGCTTATTCCTTTCCTATTTGTATTCTATTTGATGACCTTCAGTTTTCTTATTGATCTAGCTAAGACTTCATATACCATATTGAAGAGTTATTTTAAAACCCTGGACTGCCAGAATGGCTAAAATCAAAAACACAGAAGACAATTTATGGTGGAGAGGATGTGGAGAGAGTGAACACTCCTTCATTGCTGGTGGGAGTGGCAACTCATACAGCCACTTTGGAAAGCAGTATGGAGATTCCTCAGGAAAATGGGAATCAATCTAACACAAGACCCAGCAATTCAACTCTTAGGCATATATCCAAGTGAGGCAAATTCATACAACAAGGGCATCTGCTCCACTATGTCCATAGCAGCATTTTTTGTAATAGCCAGAACCTGGAAGCAACCTAGATGCCCCTCAACTGAAGAGTGGATAGAGAAAATGTGGTACATTTACACAATGGAGTATTACTCAGCAGAAAAACACAATGGAATCTTGAAATTCACAGGTAAATGGATAGCCCTGGAAGAAACCATCCTGAGTGAGGTAAACCAGTCGCAAAAAGACAAACATGGTATGTACTCACTCATATATGGATTTTAGACATGGATCAGGATAGTGCCAGTCTGCACTTCCACTGATAGAGAGTCTGGGAAACAGGAAAGAACCTAAAAGATATGCATAGTACCCAAGAGAAGAGGAATGAGGCAAGATCCTCTGAACAGAAGGGGAACAAAGCGAGTGGTGGGGAGTAGTGGGAGCTGGGAGGAAGAGAGGGGGAGAAGAGGAAGAGAGAGTAGGTCATGGGAGAACAGGAAGGTTGAGTGGGGGGTGGTAGAATAGGGAGAAGAGGGAATCATAAATTAGAAGACAGATCAGGCACCAGTGTGACCTCTAGTGATCTAAAGGGATGACACCAATTGACAAGCTAAGCAATAGTGGAGAGACCACCTCGAATGCCCATTCCTGATAATGAACTTGATGTCTATAACAATCCAGGAGCCTTCATCCAGTGACTGATGGAAGCAGAGGCAAACACCCACAGTTAAGCACTGAACTGAACCCAAAGAACCCAGTGACAGAGAGAGAGGAACGATGAGCAAATTGACAAAGAATGGCTGGCAAAACCAGCAGGAGACAGCTGATCAGAACAGGGGAGAGCTCTTGGACCCCAGACTGACAGCGGGCAGGCCAGCATGGGACTTATCCGGACCCCTGAATGTGAGTGTCAGTGAGGAGGCCTGGGCAACCTATGGGGCTCTGAGCAGTGGATCAGTGTTTATCCCTGGGATACAAACAGACATCACAGACATTGTTTGCCCATAGCACAAAGAGGGATGCTCTCTCAGCCTGGACTCTTAGGGGAGTGCCTGGACCCTGCCATGAGTGAAATGATAGACTCTAGATATCCCCTATGTGGAAGGAATTGGCAATAGGGTGGGAGGCTCGGGGGCATGGGGGATGTGGGAGGAGGGGAGGGAGAGGGAACTGGGATTGACATGTAAAACAAGCTATTTAAAATTAAAATAAATTCTTTTAAAAAAAAGTGGGCTGCCTTTTCTTGTTCCTTATTTTAGTGGAAATGCTTGGAGCTTGTGTGTCTTTAGGTTGATGTTGACTGTGGTCTTGTGTTGAATCCTACCTGACTATGAAGAATGTTCTTTTTTGTGTATTCTTGGATTCAGATTAAAAGTGTTTTATCATCAATCATTGTGTTTATGTCCATGAAGGAGATTTGTCTGTAATTTTCTTTGTGTGTTGGGTCTTTATTTGGTTCGAGTATCAGAGTAACAATGACCTCATAAAGGGAACAATGTTTCTTTCTCTTACTCCTCCTCCTCCTCTTTTTCTTCTTCTTCTTCATCTTCTTCTTTTTCATCATCATCTTCTTCTCCTTCTTCTTCATCTTCATTTTCATCATCATCCTATTCTCCTCCTCCTCCTCCTCCTCCTCCTCCTCCTCCTCCTCCTCCTCCTCCTCCTCCTCCTCCTTCTTCTTCTTCTTCTTCTTCTTCTTCTTCTTCTTCTTCTTCTTCTCCATCTTCTTCTATTTTGTAGAATAATTTCAGGAACATTAATGTTTACTCTTTGGAAAAGTATTCTGCACTACAACCATGTGGCCTGGGCTTTCTGCATCTTTGTTTGTTTCTTGTGACACTTAATTAATGCTTCAATTTCACTAAATGTTACAGGTCTATTTAAAATTGCTTATTTGTTTTAATTCAAATGATGGTACACATCAAGAAAGCTGTCCATTTCTTTTACACTCCCCAATCTGTTGAGCTGTGCGTCTATAAAATATGTTTTTAGGATTCTCTGGAATTGTTCCATGTCTCTTGTATTCTCTCTTTTGTCTCTTATTTGGTTTAGTTTGCATCTTCTATCTTTACATATGACTTTATTTGACTATATATTTGTCCACTTTTATAATTTTTTCGGAGAAGTAGCTCTTTATATCATTGATTATTTGTATTTTGTGACATTCTTCTTTCTCTTTTAGTGATTGCAAATATTCATTTGATTATATTTTGTGAAGCACTCCTTTTAGATATTACATATTCTTTTTACCAAAGCTTTCAAGTATGCAATAAGTAACCAATATAATGTCTCTTCATTTTTCTTTTTATGTAGGCATTTAGTGCTTTGAACTTGCTTCTTAGTATCACCTTCATTATGTCTATAAGTTTGGGTATGTTAGGTCTTAATTTTCATTCTTTTCTAAAAAGTTTTAAATTTTCTGTCCTGACCCATTTTTCCATTGAGTAATTATTTGTTCAGTTTCCAAAAGTTTGTAAGTTTTTTATTGTTGATATCCGCATTTCACTTGTGGTCTGATAGGATGAAGGGCATTATTTCAGTTTGATTGTTTCTATTGTGCCTTACTTTGGGTCCCAGTATGGTCAACTTTGGAAAAACTTTCATGAAGTTCTGAGAAGAATAAATATTTTTGTGTTTTGGGGGTGAAATGGTCTTTAAATACCTTTTATGTACATTGGAATTATTATGGATTTTGTCTTCAGCA